AATTGACTATACCACTTCACTCAGAAGTCAAAGATGGATGTGTTGGAATTGTATATAACACTTCACTCAGAAGTCAAAGATGAATGTGTTGGAACTGTTAATACCACTTCACTCAGAAGTCAAAGATGGATGTGTTGGAATTGTATATAACACTTCACTCAGAAGTCAAAGATGGATGTGTTGGAACTGTTAATACCACTTCACTCAGAAGTCAAAGATGGATGTGTTGGAACTGTTAATACCACTTCACTCAGAAGTCAATGATGGATGTGTTAATTGGAATTGTATATACCACTTCACTCAGAAGTCAAAAGATGGATGTGTTGGAATTGTATATACCACTTCACTCAGAGTCTAAAGATGGATGTGTTGGTATTGTATATACCACTTCACTCAGAAGTCAAAGATGGATGTGTTGGAACTGTTAATACCACTTCACTCAGAAGTCAAAGATGGATGTGTTTGAACTGTATATACCACTTCACTCAGAAGTCAAAAGATGGATGTGTTGGAATTGTATATACCACTTCACTCAGAAGTCAAAGATGGATATGTTGGAATTGTATATACCACTTCACTAAGAAGTCAAAAGATGGATGCGTTGGAATTGTATATACCACTTCACTCAGAAGTCAAAAGATGGATGCGTTGGTATTGTATATACCACTTCACTCAGAAGTCAAAAGATGGATGTGTTGGAATTGTATATACCACTTCACTCAGAAGTCAAAGATGGATGTGTTGGAATTGTATATACCACTTCACTCAGAAGTCAAAGATGGATGTGTTGGAATTGTATATACCACTTCACTCAGAAGTCAAAGATGGATGTGTTGGAATTGTATATACCACTTCACTCAGAAGTCAAAGATGGATGTGTTGGAATTGTATATACCACTTCAGATGGATGTGTTGGAACTGTTAATACCACTTCACTCAGAAGTCAAAGATGGATGTGTTGGAATTGTATATACCACTTCAGATGGATGTGTTGGAACTGTTAATACCACTTCACTCAGAAGTCAAAGATGGATGTGTTAATTGGAATTGTATATACCACTTCACTCAGAAGTCAAAAGATGGATGTGTTGGAATTGTATATACCACTTCACTCAGAAGTCAAAGATGGATGTGTTGGAATTGTATATACCACTTCACTCAGAAGTCAAAGATGAATGTGTTGGAACTGTTAATACCACTTCACTCAGAAGTCAAAGATGGATGTGTTGGAATTGTATATAACACTTCACTCAGAAGTCAAAGATGAATGTGTTCGAACTGTTAATACCACTTCACTCAGAAGTCAAAGATGAATGTGTTCGAACTGTTAATACCACTTCACTCAGAAGTCAAAGATGGATGTGTTGGAATTGTATATAACACTTCACTCAGAAGTCAAAGATGAATGTGTTCGAACTGTTAATACCACTTCACTCAGAAGTCAAAGATGAATGTGTTGGAACTGTTAATACCACTTCACTCAGAAGTCAAAGATGGATGTGTTGCAATTGACTATACACTTCACTCAGAAGTCAAAGATGGATGTGTTGGAATTGTATATAACACTTCACTCAGAAGTCAAAGATGAATGTGTTGGAACTGTTAATACCACTTCACTCAGAAGTCAAAGATGGATGTGTTGGAATTGTATATAACACTTCACTCAGAAGTCAAAGATGGATGTGTTGGAACTGTTAATACCACTTCACTCAGAAGTCAAAGATGGATGTGTTGGAACTGTTAATACCACTTCACTCAGAAGTCAATGATGGATGTGTTAATTCGAATTGTATATACCACTTCACTCAGAAGTCAAAAGATGGATGTGTTGGAATTGTATATACCACTTCACTCAGAGTCTAAAAGATGGATGTGTTGGTATTGTATATACCACTTCACTCAGAAGTCAAAGATGGATGTGTTGGAACTGTTAATACCACTTCACTCAGAAGTCAAAGATGGATGTGTTTGAACTGTATATACCACTTCACTCAGAAGTCAAAAGATGGATGTGTTGGAATTGTATATACCACTTCACTCAGAAGTCAAAGATGGATATGTTGGAATTGTATATACCACTTCACTAAGAAGTCAAAAGATGGATGCGTTGGAATTGTATATACCACTTCACTCAGAAGTCAAAAGATGGATGCGTTGGTATTGTATATACCACTTCACTCAGAAGTCAAAAGATGGATGTGTTGGAATTGTATATACCACTTCACTCAGAGTCTAAAGATGGATGTGTTGGTATTGTATATACCATTTCACTCAGAAGTCAAAGTTGGATGCGTTGGAACTGTAGATACCACCTCATTCAGAAGCTAAAGATGGATGTGTTGGAACTAGTATTACCAACTACCTTAAAAGTGATACTAGTAAATGGATATGTTCGGATTGATGGATATGTTTTGATTGTTTTTTTACCACTTTAACTAAAATGAAATGATAAATGTGTTTGGATTTTATTTACCATTTATCTTACTAGTGAAGGACAGATCTATGTGTTGTGACAGAATTGCCAGTTTGAAATGAATTAATAAGGATCATATGTATGGTGTTATTCTGGACAATTATTGTTTGGACCAAATCATTGCTTTTTGCTGGTATTGTTTTGTCTTGTGTAGAGATACATTTTGTCTTGATCAGAACAAGTTTCCATTACATTACTTAACATTACTTACCTACAGTAATTTGTTTGCATACCTTTCTAGTGATTTTTAATGAAGATCTGAAAATTCATTTGGGAGATAAGGGAGGAGAAAAATCAAATAAATTCTCATCATTTTCTCCTGTATGTTTAAGAATGATTCATGAAGTATGATAATGATTATATAAGCAATGTGTCTATGATTTCCCCTATCAAATTGACTTATCTTGATTATCAGGACATATTGCGGCATCTTGGCCAATATTTATCCTGATAATATTTACATTATTATACAAATATACTCTGGCTCAGTACACACACAGTAAGGAGGCTGCTGCATTGAGACACAGTAGCTGGATTGTACTGTAGCTCTATAAATAACTTGATGGTTTAAGTGTAAGGAAGGAAATACCAGTGGCATATATCCAAGTAGTTGAGAGGATTTTCATTACATAGGAATGTAAGATTCTGATGCTTTTTCCTCTCTCACATTGGAGACTCATTTTGTTATAACACCCGAGTTAAACACAGAAGAGTTTTGTTGGACCTTTTGTTGTTGTTGTTGTTTTATTTTTAAGGGAAACAATATTTATTTTCAGATAAAGTGATTATAGACATTTGCAGAAAAAATGTAAGGAAATCTGTGATTTTATGATGATATGTTTTAAGATTTATTAAGTAAAGTGATTCTATCAGCTGGAATGGATTTTATTGAAATTTGAGGGATTATAACTGGATTATTGTGTATTGTTTGTAATTATTATTATGGCTTTGACATTTTTCTCATTTATAATCAACAGGGACTATATTTATTTCAATTGGTTATGTAATCGATATGTTATTTGTCAAAAAAGTTTTATGTCCGCTCATAATAGACCTTTAATGTTTTAGTATGTAGACTTCAGCTTATTCAAATCATACAAAGGCATGATTCATTATTCCGCAAGACTGGTATAAATACATTTTATTTTAAGAAAAAATAACTATTAGCATTAAATTTGGCAGAAAGATAATGGGTTTGATTCTATTTTTCAATGATATTGAAAATGAAGTGATATGTTTACTAAAACCCAGATAAACTACGTTGTTAAAAACTTACCGGTTATATGTCGGATTAGTCAGACAGGAGCCAGATTGTTTTTACAGTTAAGATAGCTGTAGAACTAATTGTAGTATTTTTGTTCAAGGTTACTCTTTTTAAACTTATACCCTGCAATATAATGTAATGAAAATGCCCTGCAATATTGATATGTAATGAAAATGCCCTGCAATATTGATATATAATGAAAATGCCCTGATGAATTCAATATAAAAATGCCTAAATAATGCTGAACCAAGGATACAGAAGCTTATCAGACAGCACAATGTCATGCAACGCTGCACTAATGACTGACAATGTCATATTAGAGCTGCTGGTATTTACAGTTTTAATGTAATTACATGGAATAATGTATCTCTATGACTCATTACAAGTGATATTGTATAAATTAAACTAGCTGGAACATTCTTATCCTCTATTTTATAAATTTGTTGCCATGGTAACTGATATTAAACAGAAACAGGTGGTGTTGGCATACAATATACAACTGCTAGCTTTATTTTTATTAATTCTTTAAAATTTCTCTGATGCTATGTATCCTATAAATTACCTGTAATGGGGTAGAAAAAAAGTGATTTGTATGCCTAAATTTGCCCAAGAATTTCCCTTTCTCTCAAAAAAAGATAATGATATATATAATGTGTCTGTGCAGTGCTGAAGTATATAGCTGGTGTTTGAACTGAAAATGCTGGAATATTTTGCATTAATCATGAAAATGCACTTTCTGTTAAAGCCGGATATGCATTTTTCCATCAAGGCTGAAGTGTTTATTTAGTGGGCACTCATTGTAGAGTATTGGTAGTATAATAATAAACTATTGGTTGAATCAGAATGAATAAGTGTGGGTGTGTGGTCCGTCTGTCCTGGCTACAGATCCAAGGGAATATTAAGTTTGATCCCAACACTAATGTATTTGAGTACTTATATAACTTTCTTTATATGTGACTGAAAATAGAAGTCATCTGATATGTGTTGCATGCTGGAGAAATAGTTTTGGTCTCTTTAGTGATTTTTTTGTTTGTTGACTTATGAATACAATGTACTCCTATTTAAGTGATTGAGTCACAGATTCTGTTGTAAAAAGCAGATGCACAGTCACTAATAAATTATGTAATAGATTATGTTATATTAATAATTGGAATTATGGTTCACAAAATTTTGATAATACTACCGATAATTTAAATGAAATGGCTTTACTGCTAAATACTTGAAACTTTGAATATAAAGTTTGTTCTTTTTTCTGATTTTCAGATTTACTGTGAGGAACTAGGCTAAGCAGTGCTTCCTGGTGCGGAATTTATTACTAAAAATACACTTCAAAATGTGGAAACACACAGTTTCAGTGATTTCTTTACTGATAGTTACAAATTGTGTTAATGCTATAAATCCCGACGTGGCGAATAAAATAAGATGCTGTGAATGTACTTCTATGATACCATCGGAAATGAGAGATATTGAGCCTCAACTTGTGCCGTCACCTTTTGTTATAAAAATAGACCCAGAAAAAATGTCATATAGCATGGGAGGAACTGATATTAATGGTAAGTTCGTAATTCCAAAAAATTTTCAGAGATCGAAAATTCCACTTTAATTACAAGTAGAATTTGAGAGAACGCGATGCAGGACGAGTAGAAAAATGTTACCGACACATTGGATTTAGATGCTACGAGTCCTGCAGGATGAGTGACTCCGAAAATATATATTTTGTTGAAATATTCTGTTTATTTTGGTGACAGCAATTAATAATATGCTGCCATCCTGTAATACTGTGCTCTGTTCTAACGTTAACCTCATTATAATGTTCATTGGCTTTTACATATGTATTTTGACAATGGTCATGCTACCTCTATGCAAACTAACATCTACCAAGTCCCGTTCAAGACAACCTTGGTGCCACCTGCTTGCATTTTTCAGAAGCAAAATGTTGAGTAGAACCACTTTACTTCTGTAAGATAAATATATGAGATTCATCACTTCAAATAATTCATCATCTCTCCTGGGATTTGAACTCACTGCAGTATGATTCTGTGAAGTAAGTGGATGTGCATAAAATCCTATGAAGCAGAGAGATAAGGTCATATGTATAATTGATTAGTTATTATACAACAAGTAATGTCCTCCTAAAGTGTTTAAATCATGTACATGAAGAGAACAAACCAATACAAATGCAATGCTATACCACAGTGACAGTTGTGTACAATTTCATTGTATTTTTATTATTTTTTTATGGTTTTTACCCACATTGTATAATTTATTTAGATTCTTGCACACTTGAACGCAGGCTATATATAATGTAAGGATCTACTGTCAGTGGTACATAAACTGCATGGTACTATTTTAGTTAAAATTAATAAAATGTTGCCTGTTGACATGCAAGATTTCGACTGAATGTCTCATGTTTCCCTATTCATTTTAATCAATTTTATATTCTCATATGGAAACTTTAGAGCAAATTTTAGCTTAATTTGCGATAATTTCACTTTAATCCTAATGAGAATCAAAGTATATTCTACCAGGAGACTGCATACATAAGACTCTTGCAATGATAGACTTATCAAATATTGCACCATATATAAAAAAAAGTTCTTTGAAAGATTTTTGTTTTTGTTTGTTACAGTAAATTTAACGTCCGTAGTAGAGGACCGAAAATTCCGTTCATTTATGATAGAAGCACGAAGAATTGACCCAACTCGGGATACAGACGAGGCTATCGGATGGTTCTCAGTATTAGATCCCATTGATGCTGTACAAGACTGCAAAAGTTCTTATGGGGTAGGTGGTTATGTATATGAAAAAAATGATTTCACATAGTCCCCGGCTTCAGTCAAATAAATCAATTACTTACAATTTTTATCCAAGTACTTTTGTCTTTGTAACTGCTGCATCACTGCATTGTAACACTTACTTAGGTGATATATCTATGTTGAGTTGAATGGGAACTCACAGACCCACATATCTATATTTTTTTATGGAAACTCACAGTTTGATGTACATGTATTGTATATTTACAAAACAATGAAAATATGTAGCAATTCAACACTTTAAAATTTCATGCACCATCATTTACCTGAGTAGAGCATTAAGCTCATTTGTCTTTGCCAATTATGGTAAAAACTAATCCCCAGTTGAACATTTAGAGCAAAATTACTATCCAGCACCTGTTTACTATATATAATGTAAAGTAAATTGGTCCTGGATTTTAATTTTGTTCTTGAGATTATTTGGTAATAATTTGATGATTATTGGCAAGACAAAGTAGCCTAATGCTTTTCACCATCAACATGACATAAACTAGATACATATATTTTCCACACATACAAAATATATTCACATATATATGTTAATATAAGTACGATAATGGATGTAAACAGTTTGATGTGTAAAAAGCTTTTGATATAAATGATCTAACTTTTTTCTGCACCAGTACTTCTGGATATATATAGCTGACAATGATAGAAATAAAATTTACTGATGAGAGATAGGATTGAAATCACTCAGTGTATATTTCATTACTTATTTATATTACCATTGAACAACAAACATTGTTCGGCCAGCCAATCAACTGTGTGTAATGTGTACTTATCACACATGCAAAATTGATTTTACCACAATATAAGATTTTTTTAACCAGTTAGACTCTGTGAAATACATAAATTTTGATGTGGGAGTCAGTAAAACTACCTAACCTTTACCATTAACCCTTGCCAGGCTGAATCTCTTAAATCATAAATGGACCCATGAACGAAACCATTTATCATTTTAAGTGAATGTTTTAAAAAATGCGCGTATGTAGTGATTTTATAGGGGACAGAGTAGACCATGATCAGACAGCATGGTTATAGGGGAGCCGTGGCCTTGTGGTTAAGGTGTCTGCCTCTCAACCTGTGGATCATGAGTTCGAGCCCTAATCGGGTCACAACCATGTTTTCTTCATATGACACCAGTACTGGTTGATTCCAGAAAGGGGACTCTTAAGTGATTATAATAAGTTGCAAGAACTTGTTTCTCAATTGAGCTTAAATAAGTATATTCAAACCAAACCAGCATGGATGTACTGGCTGATCTTGGTCTGCACTGGTCACATTGGTAAAATTGGCTAAATGTTAATTTTAAACTGGTGTATAGGTTAGTTTCACTGTATATTTTTATATTAGCAATGTTACCTAGATAAGAAAAAGAGATAAGAATCATATTAGCTAGCTGATATAATATTTATATGCTACACTGTGGTAAAAAAATATGAAAAGTTGATTGAGGAATTGCAACAGGTACATACCAACCTGGGAACATTCCTTTACATTACATCATTCTCAAAAATTTGTTTATTTTTAGTAACATGTTCAAAGAGCTTGCCAAAGATTTTATCATTTTGTTCAACATAGAAATTTATATATTATATGATTTTAAACTCTCCACACCAGAAGCAGGATGTAAGATAATTTTTCCAATGTAATATGACGTTATTACATGCATTTGAGATATGGTCCATTTCCATGTGACGGTGACTGAAATATCACTGGATGCCAGGATGTTCCCAACCACTGTTATGACTCATGACTACGTTGAATAAATTATCAGATTCTTTTCTATTTTAATATCAGTTACTATTACTGTGTTAGTAACGCAGTAGATTTTGCAAAGCAAAACAAAACAAACAAAAAAATACAATATATATTTCAAGACAATTTGGTCAACTCTTGTTATAAATTAATAGGTTAGTAACAAAAGAATTTTCACATTAAACAAAATAGACCAGTATTTACAGCTTACTTGGAATTTCGTATTTATTTTTTTCCAATTGACCGTCTTTGGGCTTTAAATTATATGATCAACTTATTTCCACAATCCCTTTCATTTCCTAAAAGCAGTGCAGACTTTATAACTGTCGGTAATGATCAAATGATCAGACTGACAGCATTATTTTTAAAAAGACATACTAACATTATTTATATGGCAATAACTGATAGCCAGCCCATCTGTACTTTTGTACTTTGATTATTGTCTATTCAAAATTTATATTCTTATGTTAACAAATGTTGAGATAATTAAAAACATTTATAAAACATATTTTTCATTAATTTCCATTTAACTAAAATAGATTTTATCCCACAAATATTTATTAAACAAATGTTCATAGAGAAGCTTCCATACAAATTAAAATTAAGAGGGTTTAAGAAAATAAAACCACAAATATTTATTAAACAAATGTTAATAGAGAAACTTCCAAACAAATTAAAGTGGGTTAAAAAAAATGAAAAGGGAGCGATAGATAATAAATTCTTGTATTTATAAACCCATAAAGTTCATGTTTGAATTATTGTGGGTGTTGGAATATAAAGATGCGTAAAGTTGTCTTTATTGATGTCAAAAATATGTAAATTTTTAGATTTGCATTTGAAGTGCATATTTTCTTTACAACTTTGAAATAACTTTAATTTGCAGCGGTATTAAGTTAGTTTTTATAGTCATCCAAGTAAGGCTTCTTTCTATTTCTTCTTTCTAGTCTAATTGTAAAAGTTGCTTGTTCTAAACTTCTGTAAGTTTGAAATAGTTTAACTAATTGTACTGCGCAACAAGATATCGAGCTATTTTGTGTCTCCTGCACAAAAAAGGGAGAGTCTGACCTAGTATAAAAATATCTCAGAATCTAGTTTTGGCATGTCAATATATTTTGACTAGGTTTAACCCTTAAAGTGCTGGAACCGAATGCATTAAGCCTTTGACACCAGTATAAAGCCAGGCCAGGCTGCACTTCAGTGCAGTCTAACCAGGCTCTATACTGTTGGCTGACAAGTCCATTTAAAATATTCAGCATGTTAAGGGTTTAAGGAGCTCTACTGAGGGCTTAAAGTGTTAAAACATTTGAGCCGTGTCACGACAAACCAACATAATGGGTTTGCGACCAGCATGGATCCAGACCAGCCTGCCCATCCGCGCAGTCTGATCAGGATCCATGCTGTTCGCTTACAAACTCTTTTACAAGTGAAGAAACTGACAGCGAACAGCATGGATCCTGATCAGACTGCGCGGATGCGCAGGCTGGTCTGGATCCATGCTGGTCGCAAACCCATTATGTTGGTTTTGTTGTGACGCGGCTCATAGCATCCCATGTTGGTGATATGATGCATATACTCTATTTGTTAAGCAGACGGGTTTATCTTATTATAGGATTTTATTAATTCATGTAATCAATTAAAACGTTATTGATTTATTTTCTTGTAGAATTACAAAAGTCGATACCTGCTACATGCTCAGAATATTTATTGAAAATTGTAAAACATTAAATTTTGCTTGCCCTTAAGGGTTAGTAATTGCTTTTTATGTTTCTGAAGTCTTTTGAACAGTGGTTGTACAATTTATTGTAAAAGGCTATTGCTACCATGACATGCTATAATATATACATGTATATGTCTTTTCAGTGTTCAGTTCCAGCATTTTAAGTGCAGAAATTCCTTATACCTTATATATAAGTAATGGATTTACTTTGATTTGAATTTGGAGGTTTTCATTATTATTTTAAGGGGTTCCAATATCAAATTTTTAAAATTAAGCATCCAAAGTATATAAAGCCTAAATATTGAATTGGCACCATTCTATTATGTCTTTTGTTACAGTAAGCTTTCTTAGAGTTAAATTATCAGTAAGAACTTAGTTCTAAAATCAAAGTAGCTAGGACAAGTATTTTGCTTAAGTTAAGCAGGGTAAGGGTTTAGGATAGAAATATGTAAGTTGTACAGTATATAACTGGCTAAGTTGTACAGTATATGACTGATTAAGTTGTACAGTTTTTCAATGGCTAAGTTGAACAGTTTATCAATGGTTAAATAGTACAGTTTATCAATGGCTAAATTGTAACGTTTATCAATGGCTAAATTGTAACATTTATAACTGGTTAAGTTGTACAGTTTATCAATGGCTAAATTGTACAGTTTATCCCTGGTGAAGTTGTACAGTTTATCAATGGCTAAATTGTAACATTTATAACTGGTTAAGTTGTACAGTTTATCAATGGCTAAATTGTACAGTTTATCCCTGGTGAAGTTGTACAGTTTATCAATGGCTAAGTACAGTATATAACTTGTAAAGTTGTACAGTACATTATATATCATATATATTACTGGCTAAGTCATACAGTATATTAGTGGCTAAGTTGTAAGGTAAATAACTGGCTAAATTGTACAAAAAGTTTCCATGAAAATATGATAAAACTGACACAGAATAATAATGAAGGAACAATAGTTGTACATGTATACAAGCTTGTAGAGATGTGAACACTTGCCAGAAACACTTGTTACTATCAGGATCCACCACACAATGTTGATTAATATCTTACATTTGTTTTCTTTCAGGCAGCCTTAGTCAATTCAGTATCCAATGTCAATGAAAAAACCAATGTCCGTATGGCATGGAAACCATATGGTAGCTTTCAGGGACATATAGAATTCAGGTAGGTTATTTTTGTGTTTTTGTTATTCTTTCGTGTTATAAATTTTTTCGGTACAGTCACACATTTGTGTCTTTGAATGATCCTGTTCCGTTTAAAAGCTTTGCTATATGTGAATATATCAATGTATCACAAAGATAACACTTAAAATACAGTAAACTCTGCTTATAACTATCAGGGGACGGCCTACTTTGTATCATTATATCCAGATATTGTTATATCTGAGATGCAAGAGTCTGGACCATGGCAACAGTATCCGTATGAACGGAATAACCGGAATAACCGTATGAACGGTATATCATTATAGGCAATATCATTATAAGTGGAGTTTACTGTATATATTATCTTATAATACTGCAAGCTTGTAACTTTGTTATTCATTGGATAATCATGACGTTTATGTAGTATTCTATACACAGCTGCTTTCACTTATTAAAAAAAATCTCATTTTTTCTCTAAAAAAGGAAGTTTGCAGTAATATAAATTCGTTATTAAGATTCCTGACAGGTTATATGACCATATATAAACAATTTTTTGCAATATAACCCTCATCTAGCAGATCAGGTCAAATATACAAAAAAACATTTATATACAGCCATATAACCTGTCAAAAATCTTTATAACAAATAATATACAAACTGTACAGTATGTGTACATGAAATTGTAATTTGGATTAACTTTACAACATGTTATCATTCTTAGAAAAATTTATAGTCAAAGATGTTGTGTTGAATAGACATGAAATATAAGTTTTAAAGATTGATAGTAGGAAAAAAAAGGCATTTGACATTGCCAGACTTGAACATGCAATTTTCATTGATAAGGGCAGGTGGGAAATCTAGCCAAGCTATTTAAGTTATGGACTAGTTTTCAGTTTCGAAAAATGAATAAATGAGCCGCGTCATGACAAAACCAACGTAATGCATTTGCAACCAGCATGGATCCAGACCAGCCTGCACATCCGCGCAGTCTGATCAGGATCCATGCTGTTCGCTATCGGTTTCTCTACTTGCTAGAGGGTTGGTTAGCGAACAGCATGGATCCTGATCAGACTGCACAGATGCGCAGGCTGGTCTGGATCCCTGCTGGTCGCAAACCCATTATGTTGGTTTTGTTGTGACGCGGCTCAAATAATACATAATATTATACTCGTATCTTGTTTTGTTTGTTTAACAGGGCCACATTTGTTGAAGATGAAAACACATACTGGTTGCTGGAGAGGTCCAGGCCTTTGTATGACCCCACTCTCCCTCAACCTCCAAAGCCTTTACCAAGATATGTAAGTATATTTTATATTAACCCATTGGCCTGCTGGGGGCAAGTCCATAATATGGACTTTATATTAATAATATATTATACCCATGCGACCAGTGCAGACCAAGATCAATTTCTGCTCTGTTAGTTATTTATATTTTGATTTTTTTTCCTAAAATAATGAAAGGACTTGTCTTAATTCTAAATATGGACAAGTCCATTAAAGATATGAAGGGTAGTAACTGTAAGATGTGGCAATTACAACCCAGTATCACCTGTATAGAGCCATATCAAATATCTCTTCTATATAGTCTGCCCAGACTTTAAACTCAGTTGAGGGCGGGCGGTTGTTTCCTTGTGCATGAAACTTTACACTAATTGCTCAGTATTTTTTGGTTCCAGGAACAGATTCGAGGAAGTGCCTATAAGTTACTAGCTTTCTACACAATGAAACTAAAATGAATTGTGTATAAACCAATATCAAACTGCAATAGTTGTGTTTAAAACAGTGAAGGATTGTCAGATATGACATGTTGGATGCCATATGACATCAACTTCTATATTTAAATCTTACACCCTATAGTAAAAACTATACAATGTTGAACTATACCAAATTTTTATATGCTTATAATGCATGTTTTACTAATGACAAAATTCTAAACTTGAAATTTAATCGCAAGTTTTATTAATATTTTAACATAACATTTGGAGCATTTCCAGCTTCAACTATGTCCACATATATTTTTAGATTCCACCACCTATCCGTGCAATAGATGTAACAGGATGTGGATCAACAAAAGGGTGTTACAGAGTTCCTGAAGGTTGTGTGGAAGTTGAATGTGAATATATCTTCACATGGAGAAATAAAGGTTCTGTCATGGAATATGAAATGAGTGCTTTAACTGATGGTTTTAATGACAGATACTTCGCTGTTGGTTTCTCGGAGGATATTTACATGGTAAGTGGTAGTTTCACTGAGGATATATACATGGTAAGTGGTATGGTAAGTGGTAGTTTCACTGAGGATATAAACATGGTAAGTGGTAGTTTCACTAAGGATACAATGTATATACAAGGTAAGTGGTAGTTTCACTGAGGATATATACATGGTAAGTGGTATGGTAAGTGGTAGTTTCACTGAGGATATAAACATGGTAAGTGGTAGTTTCACTAAGGATATATACATGGTAAGTGGTAGTTTCACTGAGGATATATACATGGTAAGTGGTAGTTTCACTGAGGATATAAACATGGTAAATGGTAGTTTCACTAAGGATATATACAAGGTAAGTGGTAGTTTCACTGAGGATATATACATGGTAAGTGGTTGTTTCACTGAGGATATATACATGGTAAGTGGTAGTTTCACTAAGGTTATATACATAGTAAGTGGAAGAGAAACTTATTGTTTGCTTCTCTGAGGATTTAAACATGCAAGAAGTTGATGCCTTATTATGAGTTTCTCTAAGGATGTTATTGGTTTCTTGAGGATACAAACATGGTGTGTGGTAAATATCTTGTTATTGTTTCTCTGAGAATAAAAACATGGTGTGTGGTAAATGTCTTGTTATTGGTTTCTCTGAGGATACATGCATGGTGTGTGGTAAATATCTTGTTATTGGTTTCTCTGAGGATAAAAACATGGTGTGTGGTAAATATCTTGTTATTGGTTTCTCTGAGGATAAAAACATGGTGTGTGGTAAATATCTTGTTATTGATTTCTCTGAGGTTACAAACATGGTGTGCTGTAAATATCTTGTTCTTGGTTTCTCTGAGGATACAAACATGGTGTGTGGTAAATATCTTGTTATTGGTTTCTCTGAGGTTACAAACATGGTGTGTGGTAAATATCTTGTTCTTGGTTTCTCTGAGGATACAAACATGGTGTGTGGTAAATATCTTGTTGTTGGTTTCTCTGAGGATACAAACATGGTGTGTGGTAAATATCTTGTTATTGGTTTCTCTGAGGATACAAACATGGTATGTGGTAAATATCTTGTTATTGGTTTCTCTGAGGATACAAACATGGTGTGTGGTAAATATCTTGTTATTGGTTTCTCTGAGGATACAAACATGGTGTGTGGTAAATATCTTGTTATTGGTTTCTCTGAGGATATAAACATAGTGTGTGGTAATTATCTTGTTATTGGTTTCTCTGAGGATATAAACATGGTGTGTTGTAAATATCTTGTTATTGGTTTTTCTGAGGATATAAACATGGTATGTGGTAAATATCTTGTTATTGGTTTCTCTGAGGATACAAGCATGGTATGTGGTAAATACCATGTTATTGGTTTCTTGAGAATACAAACATAGTGTGTGGTAAATACCATGTGATTGGTTTCTTGAGGATACAAACATTGTATATGGAGTGTGATAGAAGCTACTTTGCTGTAAGATTATCTGTAAGAAAATTGTATGTTGTACAAATTATGTGTTGGTAGCTTTTCAGGAGATGTGTAAAAGTAAGTGGTATGGAAGCTATGATTATAGGTTCTCAAGAGAAATTTACATACCAAGTGTCAGAAAAGCTTTTTAGTTGTTTTTCACAAAATGGTATTTATTGAAAGAGAAAAAAAAATTAACATTTCAGCAGTAATTGTCCCTGTAAGAAATTGTGTATTTGACAGTTGAATTTGGGGGAAATTCGTATCAATCAACAGCAATCAACGAGCTTAGTTTGCAGATGCCTAACAAACAAAAAACCCTCTCAAAATACTGGTGTTTATCTCCAGGCAGCTGCGGTATAATTGCAACCTCCGCAATTTCTTATCACCAGAAATATTTAAGTGTCTAAGTCAGGATTTTTTTGGTTTTGGTTTTTTTATAGCTTCCAAAAATGTTTTTGATTGCTAGTTAATTAGGGTACAAAATATGAAGTCTCATATTTTTGTTGGAAAATTACAGTGCATACTGTTAAGCCTTGAATTAAAGCCAATTAAAGAAGTTATATTTATAGTGATAATTACATACAATTGGTATGATTTTTTTGTCTGGTGTGTTTACTTATTTTTGTGCAGATATGAAAAAATCTGAAATTGGTTATACTATTTTGTCAGCACTTTTGATATTTCAGAACTGACAAATTTACTATTCATTCCTGTCATAAAAGGTGTTGAGTATATATATATATCAACTTATGAAATCTTTTACCATTGATGTAATACATGTATACATTTATCTGTTATTTATTTCAGGGTAAAGACATGGTGTTTGAATGCGTACATAATAGTACAAGAGAAAATGTGGAGGTTTACCAGTCCTTTAACTTGGAAGGTGAACATAAAAATGTCAGACTGACCAATGTAAGTATAAAAAGTTTGACTTACAAACAGGTTAAGGGTTAATATAATTGCAGGAACTTGTTTTAAAGTAGAGATATATAATCATGTATCGAGATTCGATCACAAAACACCAGCACTGTGTTATACAGATACGCTCATGCTTGACTGATATACTTGTCAGTGCATTATCTAGGTCACATGTTTGAATCTGTATAGAACCACTGCCCTTAATGTAGGGATGTCTTAATAAGTTTCAGGCTGCCTCAAAACACTTTTCATTACCATTTTGGTATGTGATAAAACCAAAAATGACTGCATCAAACTTAAAACAAAATGTCACAAAATGTGACCTTTGCATAAAAGAAATCAATGTATAATTTATAAAAACACTGCAGTCACCAGTTAGGCCTTTTACATTGATAAGAAAATGCATTTCTTTAACACCCCTTTGTCTCCTAGTATTTTTCCCACAAGTTGACTTTCTTAATCAGGTTCAGTGAAAGTTTATTCTACACTTTCTTTTTTGTTTTAGCCTAAAGTAGGTATAGAAGATGAAGAAGGGTCTTACAATGCTGGTAGATTACGATGTAGATTTTCCAAGACCAAGAGTGTTAAAGAGGCTGAAGATTTCGACTTGAGTAATAATGTTTATCATCTCCTTATGGCTAGAGGACGGGCATCTAATGGTAAGACATATTTAAATACATAGTACTTCCTCATTGCTAGAGGGCTTACTGTTAATGGCATATTACTCATGGTGAATTATCTTCTCATGGCTTAAGAGATTACTTTATATGTCTTACCAAAGACCATTCATCTCATGCCAAAGGACTGGCATCTAATGGTAAGACTTATTTTAATACATAGTGCTTCCTCTTGGCTAGAGTTAATGGTAGGTAATTTATGGTGCATTATCTCCTCGTGGGTTAAGGGATTACCGTCGTCTGTCTGTCCGTCTGTCCGTCTGTCTGTCTGTCTGTCTGTCCGTCTGTCCGTCCGTCCGTCACAAAACTTGTCCGGACTACCCCTCATAAACTACTGGTGCAATTTCATCCAAACTTTACAGGAATGATCAGTATCAAGTCTAGTTGTGCATATTGTCAGCATTTTCCGGTTCAATAATTTTTGTCAGAGTTATGGCCCTTTAATAATTTTTAATTTTAAAGTTTGTCCGGACTACTTCTCTTATACCACTAATGCAATTTCAATGAAACTTTACAGGATTGATCTGTAGCTCAAGTCCTTGCGCATATTGCAAGGGTTTTTCGGTTGAATGATTTTTGGCCGAGTTATGGCCCTTTGATAAAAAGGTGTTTTTTTTCTGTGTGTTGCCAGATACACAATAGCTTGTCCGGACTACTCCTCATAAACTACTGGTGCAATTTCATCCAAACTTTACAGGAATGATCAGTACCAAGTCTAGTTGTGCATATTGTTAGCATTTTTCGGTTCAATGATTTTTATCAGAGTTATGGCCCTTTAATAATTTTTATTTTTAAAGTTTGTCCGGACTACTTCTCTTATATAACTAATGCAAATTCAATAAAACTTTACAGGATTGATCTGTAGCTCAAGTCCTTGCGCATATTGCACGGGTTTTCCGGTCGAATGATTTTTGGCTGAGTTATGGCCCTTTGATAAAAAGGTGTTTTTTTCTGTGTGTTGCCAGATACACAAAAGCTTGTCCGGACTACTCCTCATAAGCTACTGGTGCAATTTTATCCAAACTTTACATGATTGATCAATACTTAGTCTAGTTGTGCACTGTCCGTCTGTCTGTCCGTCTGTCACAAAATTTGTCCCAACATGAAATTGGCCATTATGAGGCGACACATGTGATTACTGATCGCTCTTGTATTTCTTACGGAAGACTACTCATCTTGTGACTTTAGATATTACTTTATATATCTTACCCAAGACTAGTCAACTCCTAATGGCTAGAGGATGGAATGAAGCAACTTCATTTGTTTAAAGTTTAACAGTTGGAAGGTTATGGTAGTTTTAATATATAGAAGCATTTTTACTGGAATTAATGATGAAGCTTTTGTATGATTTAAACATGTTTGTTTGTATATTCTCAAACAGATTTTTATGATACTTGTAGTCGACTTTCAATGTTTTTCTTTATGAATAACATGCTACAGTGATAATGCTTGCATTTTAGGTCATATAAGACGTCATGGTTTGACAGTAGGTCATCTTCCAGCAGTATCTCCTGATGAAATCGATGTACTCAGACCTCTAATTCTCGTAGACCCAATATCATCTTTTTAAAGTCATGTAATTAAAGCTTGTTTGGAAATTTATAAGGAAAATTTGGGTTATATGAAAACTTTAAAATGTGATTAATTTCTCATGGTTATTTTGTATAGGACAATTTAGTTAAATTAAAAGGGCACTATTATTCAAAATTTCTTTAATGACATGGCCAAGGGGGTTTAAGTATTAAATTTAAATTCTTGCCTCATTTGCTGTGTTTTCGTTCTGAAAGGGGATTTTGAATTTTTTATGTGAGAACTATCCACTGGGTCATAAAGTCAGGGTTCTACATGGTGCCCATCGTTTTTAAAATAATGCAAGGATAGGCACTTCAGGTTTTTTCTCCAGCAGTAAAGCTAGAAAGTTGCCAATATGACCTTTTTTACTGTGTAGGTGCGATGTAAAACCCAACCAACCATACAGTGGGTTGATGTGGCTTAAATATTACAATTTAATAATTAACACAAAATTGTATTTCAGCATGCTTGATGTTGCTGGCGTGGGTGTTTTTCGCACCAATAGGTTTGATTTGGATGAAATATTACACTACAATGTGGCCAAACAGCAGATTCCTCAGGGAGAAGTACTGGTTTGTGGTAAGTAAGAAACTGTGAATTATGACTGGGGGTATACTTGGCTATGTACCAGAACCATTTGATGTTGATCAAGACCAATAACCTCCATGTGCAATTTTAGGTCAATTGCTCAACACTTTTTTCAAATTGTTAAAAATGACCCCAAACTGAAAAGTGTTGCGCTTTTCATCCAAATCGGACTAAGAAAAGCACAAAAATACGACTTTTAATTTATTTCTAAGTATATTTTTTACTATCTTTGCAAGTATATTTCTTAACTATCTTTTCATATCTGTCTGTTTTAAGTTCCCCAGCTTATTAATGTAAGAAATTCAAACTTTATGTTTTTAGGCTTTTAGTCCTGATTGGAATTTGAAGAATTTACAGTTGACTCCTTATTTCTTAAAAGTATATTAAATAACAAATATGTAAATGTTTAAATATTTCAGGCTCATGCAAACTGTACATTCTGGGTGGTACTACTGGTTCTCATTGGTGTTATTCTCATCTTCATTGAAGCTGGAGGCTGGAGCGAGGTACCAGTCTTACCATTATGATTATCTATATTTAACTGCTGAATTATCTATATTTTACTGCTGAAATATACATGTATTATCAAGATATGATGGTTCCATACTGAGTCATGCTACTGTCTTGAATAATGCATTGTTAAGCATCTATGGAATTTATACAAAAATAATACTCTTTTTGCTGTGGAAGTACTCTTCAGTGCTTTGTAGGTCTTTTTCCACCTGTAAAAGCAGGAAAACTGCCATATCAATGGGGTCTGACTGAGAATCAAGCAAAAAAGCAAAAGCAAAAACAAAGCAAAACAATAAACTGATGACAAAAATGTATGTAAACAAAATGTATGTAAACAGACGTTTTATGAAAATATTTTTAAAAAATGCATTAAAAAAAGTTTCAAATTCATTATGATTAAAGTTTTTTAAGAAATGAATGTTTTGGAGGTAATTATCAAAAAGTGAACAATATGTTTTATTATGTTTTCAGTTTCCAGAGCTGCCACTTAAAGCTCATCCTATACTTGGCATCATCGTCTTTATCTGTGTGCTTGTTATTGTAAGTTAAACAACTCTGTATAATATTATTTTACTGAATATAGCTAGAGTTTCTTCCCATTTAATAATTTGTAGATCAATGAAACTTTGTATTAATTTGTAATACAAATATATTGAGTTATGCAGGTGTTTTCTTAAGGAGACAAAATATCAATATTGTTGAAATATCGTATTTTATAGCTTTTAAGCATGCTGCAAAATAAATTTACAATATTTCATTTTGTGGTAAAATCCTGATATCTTGTAAAGCATACTTACAAGTTCAAACAGTGCATTGGTTCTACTATATCATTTTCTTGTTATTAATATAAAAATCATTCACTAGCTTTACAAGGGCTCTTTCTTTTTTATGTACAGTACAATTTTAGTTTTGTTATATCTTTCTGGTCCTTTGGTATCATTGATTCCAGCATATTTTGTGTTAAATATTGAATATCGCTTAGGGCGCGAGAGATGTTGTACTTTTAAATATTCTCTCAATCAAAAGCAAGTCTGCAATTTTCATATTAACATTATTCTTTTCATTCCCTCCATTTTCTACAGGGCAGCCCTCTGTTTGGCAATAACTTTTCACAAGAACAGTATCAATTTTACTCAAGAGTAAGAAATCACAATAAATATAACTTATCTACAGTAACATCTCTCAGCAACATCCAAACTTCTTGTCACATAAAGGTTGTTCCCCAGAGGTTTTACTGTATATAAGTTGTTGAATGTGTGAAGGTTTATTTTATAGATAAATCTTTAAATTTTAGCCTATTATTGCAATAATCCGGTGTCCGGAGACTCACACCTGCCGGCCTGTGGGAAACTGGTTTTATTGGCTGTTCTGGACCATTGCTTTCTGTCTTGCAAGTAAGTATTGTTGGTTGAACAGTCTCATTTATCTTTTTTTTTTCACCAAATTTTTACTTTTTAAACCATTATATGCACAGTATCTTCTGGACTGTCCATTTTCAATCCCTGGACAAAACCATTCCATTTAGGAACAAATCAAACCTATTGAGCCTAAAAGGACATGAATAATGAACAGATGAAATAAAAATGTGCGTCTTTTACTTGTTCTGCACTGGTTGCATTTGGGGAAATTTTTGTTGCCATTCGAGCGACTTAATAAAGAGTAGGTCTTTCATTATTGGCATAAATTTGTGAATACTTGAATTACTTGGAACGTGAATTTCGTGAATTTTCTAAATGTTACACAGAATATACGCCCATGTCTTGCTATTCAACCAGTATAGAACCACTCTAGTCTGAACATTCATGCAATCTGGCGAGGCTCTATGGATGTTAGGTTAACATAAGGACTTTGATACTTACTGAAATCCATGATTTGACAGATATTACCTCAAAGCAGGAAGAATGCATTTCACAAATTTAGAAGTGTAAGAGTTGAATAATAATGAATTTGTCAGTCATAAGATTGGACTCTTTTTGTGTGTACATTGTATTTTTTCTTATTTACAGGCCAAATCATATAACATTTTTCATACAGTAATACATGTACTTGTTTTGTTTTTTCAGTCCCAAACATATTTATTGGTATGGAGTTTGGTAAGGCGATGGTACCATGGTGGTTGACCTGGATACTCTGTATTTTCTTCCTGTTTAACTTTATCTGTGAAGTGATGCTTGAAGTTCATCAATGTTGCACTCATAAGAGAAACAAAGGTAGGTGTATAATAGTCTGTTTTATTGGCTGCCTTATTTATTTTTTTTATATGAAGACCCCTTAAAATTATTATAGACAGTAAAAAATTTAAAGAAAACTTGATTTTTTTTTCCACACAAAGAAAATCGCCATATGACCTTCATAGTACAATTTTGACATAAAACCAAATAAAAAAATACAAGTATTTTGGAAATAAATGTTAGGATATTGATGGACATAATATGATAATTATTACAATGATGTTTTCAGAGAGGAGACAAAAGTGGGAGCTACAGAAGAAAGAGAATCCAAATGCCCACATTCCTGAGCCATGGCCTGTTGTAAGTAATTCTTTGATATATCTAGTATTGATGTTATAAAAATATATATATATATATATAAATGTAGTCCTTTTCACAATACATGATAGTCTACAGGGATTAAACTTTGTCTCATAATTATGATAAATAGCTTGTTACAAAAAGGGGCACCTGTAGAAATTCTCAAATAATTGATCATGTGACATGAACTGTGTTGTGACTTGAAACAAGAGCAAAAAACAGATTTGAGTAATTAGTTATAATACAGCAGCAACACCAGTGTAATTTGAAATTTTGCCTAATGGTAATGGTAACTACCTCTCAAACAAGAGATCAAAGGTTGAAGCCCCAATCAGGTCAAGACTAAATTTCCTCATATGATCTTGATAGCCAGGGATTCCAAAAAGTAATTGATTTGAGATTTAAAACTTGTAGTATAATCTAGTTAAGGTTAATATGTTTAACTGACACTATATGGTATATTTATCTGCATTATTTCTGTTTTTTAGGGAAGGAACTTCAAGCGCAATGTACTTTTTACTCACTTCATAGTGTGTCTTATAGTGGTCATCATTTCGGTTATTACTGTAGCAGTATCCTAGAATGGTAACCAGTCTAGAAATGTATGCAACTAGTGTGCCAGTCTGAGATTATCAACATCGCCATAGCAACTGATCGCCATAGATGAAATTGTTTGAAATTTTAAATATGAAAAACCTTAAACCTGTGAAGTGATTTGGATAATTTAAAAAAACCAGGAATACCATGTTTTACTGCAGAATTATTTTTCTTTGAATTCAGATATTTGGATTTAAATCAAGGACTGTTTTTTATTAAGATGAAAAATTCCTGGAAATGAAATAAAAGTGCGTGTGGTTACCAGTTTTGATGGAGTACAAGAAGTTGAGAGTTAACTTGCATGGACCTTAGTGCTTACATTAATTATACTTGCAATATCAGTGCTTTATACATTCATATGCAATGTACGCCTTTGAATATCATTCTGACATTATCTCGGCCATCCTAGAATATTCTCGAATGTTCTAGAATGTTTATTTTACAAAGCTGCATGCTTCCAGATAAACAAAAATATTCCTAGAAAATCAAATTATAGAAAAAAGTACACAGATTTGAAGAACAGTAAAAAGATTCAAGATAAAAGTAATAATTTTCATGTTATGTGTGATTTATGACCAATTTTGCAGTAATTTTCACCATATTTCTACTGCAATTATAACACATTAAGGGATATTTTTTGCATATTTTGACCTGTTTTTTTTTCTTTTGGTTATTAACATGGAATGAAAGTGGTGTTTGCAATTTTCCTTTGTCAATGTTTTACTTTTTAATACATTTTCAAATTTTCATAAAAATTAGCATGGATCTGGAGGCGTGCTGCTTTAATGCTAAAGTCTATGTATCAAACAAAAAGGCACAGGTTATCATCCTTTAGAATGTAAGAAACTATAGGACACAAAATAGGCTTACAAATTACTCATGACATGGCTTTGTTATTTTTTTGTGATGATGTCATTTAAAAGTGAAATATAATCAAAACTTTAACGGTACTCAACCATTGTAAAGTAAATCATATAGTTGACTATGGAACTAAAAATCTTTTAATTCAGACAGTATTTTGCTTCCAGTTTATCTAAAAAAGGTGATAACATTTAAATGCAGCTTTTATTTACAACATAGAAAAAGGTGTATAGTAAATATAGAAACCAATTATTTCCATGTTTTAAGTTGCATACAGTAAGACCTGTAGTGAAGACTGTCTGAAGGCTCATTTATTGACAGTTGGCCTTTAAATACAGGTTAAATCAATGGTCATTGTTCTCTGTTCAAAGGTGGTATTTTCTTATATGTTTCACTGTATTTACATTGTATGTTGATATTTACAATTTATTAATGGTGCTAGCGTATGACGGTAAATATGTAAGCATTTGTAAGTACTCATTCTTTGAATATCAGGCTTAATCGCATTGTATGTTTTTACTGACATCTCATATAGATCTGACCATTTTTTTTCAACACCTATTTTGTTCTTAGTTGTTGTTATTTTTTTTCTTTGGTTTGTTTTTTATTGCTTTTATCAGTATCAGTGTCCATTAGTGGCTAGTGCAACTGTACTTATTCATTTTTGGAATAAAGAATGAATGAAATATCTTTTTTTATGTGTGAGCATATTCTTTAAATATATGATAATGGTAGGGTAAATCCTTTGCAAGTAATTTACTTTAAAAAAGGTATGGTAAAGTAAATTTAAAACTTTTTTAATAACAAGATGTTTTTTTCCAATCCAGTGTTTTTTTATAATTTAAGTTGTTGTTTTTTCTTTTTACAAAGAAAAGTCTATGCATTTAAGTTAGCGTAGTTGTAACAGAATATGTGTAGTAACTAGAGTGGTATATGTTGAATGAGTTAATTGGCCTATAATTGGAGGCTCCTAATTAGTTTAAATGATTGGTTAATCAGGGTAGTGTGCTGTAGAGAACTGTTTGTTGATGCTTAATGTGACATACCGGTAATTATGTGACATACATGCAGAAATAATGTTACACACTAAGTAATCATGTGACATTTAAAGTTTTTATGTGACATACATGCTGAAATACTGTTACACACTAAGTAATCATGTGAAACACATGCAGAAATAATGTAACACACAAGTAATTAGGTGACATACATGCAGAAATAATGTGACACACAAAGTAATTATGTGACATACATGCAAAAATTACAGATTAAAAGTGCAATTAATTAGTCATTTCTAATTAGATGGCTTTGGTGATATCAAGAAATATCTATTTTTGATCAAGGTCAGTCAAAATAATGATGTTGTCTTTTGTATAGAATAATAAACTGCATTTCTCTTCCATTTTCTACTGTTTACTACAGCATATCTGCATTTTTATGTCATTGATTGGAAGGTAGGTTTATAAAAATGTCTCGTAAATGCCTGATTTATAATGATTAAAGTTGGGGTTTACAGCTGCCTTCCCATGAAGACAAGCAGGTGTTTTCTATTTATAAGTGTTGTATTTATGAATTCTTGGCAACAGAATTGAAACAAATAAACATTTTTAGGAAATCTTATGAAAGTAAGAGCATAAAAACAATAGCGTTTAGATCTTAGGAAGATTTTTAATGCAAGTCATGTACTGTAGTAGCTTTTTATTTGGAGAAAATCAGGTAAAAAAAGTTTGTGTAAAATCCCTTTATATTAAAAAATAATGTAGAAAAGATTTTTATGTGTTTGAAACATGAATATTTTTACGAGTTGAAGAAAATATCAATGTATGTAGGCAAGTAAAGTGTAGTAGAGACACCCACTATCCATGGTCACCAATAGACATATGTGTCATTTTGAAAATGCACATAATTATGTTTTAATGTCACATAACTGAGAATATACACATCGCGGGCTTAGCGCAAAACGGTTGTAACTCAATTTAAGCAAATTTTACAGGAGCATGAAAAAACTTTGTAAAACTTTTGTTAATGAATAAAAATGTTTTATTTTAGGAAAATATATACATTTTAGTTAAGGAATTAGAAATAAAATAATAAAAAAGAAGCAAATTATTTTTGAAAAAAAGATATTTGAATAAGTTCAAGTTACAACCGTTTTACAAATAAAATTTTGATAATTTGTTACATATTTTTTGTGCAAAAGGGTAGTATCTCAATTACAACTGTTTTTCCGCACAAATTTTGAGCAATTTTAATTATTTTCTTTGTGCAAAAAGGAAGTATCTCAAACTCATATCTTTTTTATAGGATTTAATAATTGGATAAAATAAAATATTACTTCTAAATCACAGAAAATATATGTAGCCATTATAAAATAAGATTATAAGATAAGTGCAAGTCATGTTTTGAAAGATGAAAATAATGAAAGTAAGTATAATCATCGTGATAAGTTTTGAAGAGAATCAATGTCTGCAATAGAGAATAATATAGCCTATACCACTTTATTTAAAAATATATATAAAAAGTTAGGGATAAGTTAAAATTATTTTTGGGGTTAATTATAAATCTATTCATGGAATTTGGTATTAAAGCTGTTTTTTTTAAGCTATCTTAACACATGTGTACTATTAAATTCAAAATAAAAAGTAAGGTTTAGCCACCCTTTCAGCTTCTTGGTCCCATTTAAATCCAACCCCAATTGATTATTATAAAATTTGGGTCTTCCCAATTTAACAAAAATTTCAAAATTCTTTTAAATTTTCAAAAATTTTTAAAGGAAATAACGCGGCTCTGATTTTACTGGTTGCATGGTAAAGTGTGACACATTAGCAGGTTTAGAATTTAAGCTGAAACATTTTGAAAAAAATTGTTTTAAAAAAATTTAAGACAAGAGACACCATAACAAACTGTGAATACAGTCATTGTCCTGACATTATGTTGTTCTTGACTTAAAGCTACAGTCCTCACTGACATCCCGGCAGAGCCCTGGTAGACTTCCAGGGCTCTTACCAGGTACAACCGGGGTACATCCTAACTCTGCCGGCAACGTTTGGGATGATCCGGGAACATCCGGCATTCGACATTCAATATCACCGGGGTGGTCCGGGATGATCCGGGAAGTAAAGCTTTGAAGGCTTTCATCCTAAGCTCTGCCTGGAATGTCCAGGGTTACACCGGGGAAGAAAACAATAGAGTCTGCTGCCGACACAAACCGGGGATGATCCCGGGTATATAGCCAGTAGAGCAACGGCAGAGCCCTGGTGAATGCTGGCAGACCCCCGGTAAATGCTGGCAGAGCCCTGGAGGATGCCAGCAAGCCCCGGAGGATGACGATGGAGCTACGGTTGATCCAGGTAGAGCCCCGGCAAGGCCCAGTTCATTCAAAAAGAATCACAACAATTTGCAAAATGATCGGGACTTGTTTTATTAAAAACCCCTTCCCATTTTCCCTCCTATTCATATTGCATAAAGGGTTGTTCCCTGGAACAAAGATAATTATATTTTAAATTTAAAAATTAAATGTATCAATGTTATCATTTTTTGGCGGTTTTCAATCTACTGGGGTCCAAAAGGAAGCACCAAGTATAAACCGTACTTCACCTGGGCCGCCTGGATGGTCCAGAAGCGCATCCGGTTTGGTTTATTTTGGAATTTACAACCGTAATTTGCTGACGGGGTTTCCATGAACCGGGCAAACAATAATTTCAATCCCGGGATTTCCCAATAATACCCCCCGGGTAAACCTTTACCAGGTTGGGTCCTGGGCTCTGCGGGAAAGTAGACCATAGCTTCAAATTGATGGGTGCTGGATAAATCAAAATTCTAATTTGTTATACCTTTCAATTTTCAGTTATAATATCAATTACATGTACTTTGTCCTAAAATCTTAGAAATATTTTAAATTACCTTAGCCCACTGACCAGTTTACATTAAATCTGTAGAAGTAGTACAATTCTATATCCCAAAAAAATTTTACTTTTACTTCTAGGCATATTTTGGTTGGTAATATTGTCCAACAATATTTTCCTTGAATAAACACTTATATCAAACGAATATATTGATATATTTGTTATCTTCACATGTCAGTAAGGTGAGGTATATTTGTATAGATGACGGGCTACTGATCTGAAAGGTCTCTGTTTGATTCCTAACCAACACTGCGTTATGAAAGTCACACTTCATGTATTTTTGTGTTTTTTTGCTTAATTATTGCAAGAATTGAATTAATTTCAAATTGTTTTAATCCACTTTTAGGGATAACTTTTAAGTAGTGTGGTGTTTCCTTTTTTGTTTTATCAAGATGTTTTCGTAAGTACTCAGAACATACGGACATTGGACAATCGCAAGTTTTTCCTTAGAACGCATATTTTTCAATGGTTTCTTGGTGACATTATGCAAACATATACATTTAGCGCATACACACTACAGTCTACAGATGTAGTTAATAAAAAAAGTAACACAGATAGTATACAAAAAAAAAATAAAATGATTTGCACGAGTTATTAGAGAAGGGCAATTTTAAAATCAAAAGAAATAAAGTCAAACCTATGAGTTTATAAGTGTCTATAATGTTTTGAAGCAATGTCTTAATTACTGCTTGTGGCTAAGAGGGATTCTTAATTAAGACCATTTAAAAACTGGTTATATTATTAGTTATAAAAAGATTGTTGACAGGTTATTGGCCCCTATATAAGTGGTTGTTTGTAAAATATAACCTGCAGCCGTTAGGCAAGGGTTATTATTTGCAAACAGTCTTTATATACGGCCATATTACCTGTCAACAATTTTGTAACAAATTTTAAAACAGCAAGCATTTTTTTTTTTAAGAGAAAAAGTAATATGCTTTTATTAATCGACAGCAGCTTTGTATATATAAAACTATATAAACATCAGGATTATCCAATGAAAAGCAACGTTAAAAACATGCAGTATTATAAACATTCATAAAAGATTTAAAAGTAGATCAAAAAGTTTTCCAAATTTACTGGCTATAGGGTCAAATGAACTACTGAATGTCTGTAATAGATTTGCCCTGATTTGTATTTGGAAAAGTTAATCCCAAATCAATCAATTTATTCAATCAATAATGAACAGGTACTAAAATTGAGCTGGGCCACAGTACAGAACCCTGAAACTGAGTGCACAGGTGTTCATGGGCCTGCCTGGATTTAATACTTGTGGCAAGAACTGATCATTTTCTGTTCCAATATGTCAAGGGTAATAGACTTAATTCAATAGATTGCCACAGAATTAAAACTGGATGTTATAATATTAAAGCATGGTCCTCTTCAAATTTGGTCTTCCCTGAATTTGTGATATAGAGTTTAATATGGACTTCTTTTAGGCAAATTTCTACATTGTATGTGGAAACAATCCATATTATAAACTCTTAAGAATATTTTTTTGCTATTTCATTGTTTCAACGCAAGTGTCATTCCATGGTTCTTTTTTTAAGTATATCATTTGCGTCAATGGTTTGTTTTGGGGATTCTAACAATGGTCTTGGTTCCTGCCACTTTTTCCATTCCCTTCTCAGTTTTTCCTACATTGTATTTCAAAGTGTGTCTTTAGTTTGTAATAGTTAGAGATTACACCCCCACCTCCCTCTCTTCAATTTAGTCCCATATCCCCTTCCTTTCTTTTAATCTTAATTATACTTTTATGATATACTATTGTAGTTCTCTAATCC